GTGTGTGTGTGTGTGTGTGTGTGTGTGTGTGTGTGTGTGTTCATGTGGATGAGCATCTACATGTATATGGGGGGAATGATTGCACATGCCAGAGATCAACCTCAACTCTCATTCCTCAGGGGCCCTACGCCTTATTTTTTTAAGTTTTTTTTTTTTAATGTAACATATATGCGTGTTTTACTTGCATATATGTCTATGTACCACATGCATGCCTGGTGCCTGTGGAAACCCAAAGAGGGGGTCAGAAGCCCCTGGAGCTGAAGTTAAAGATGGCTGTGAGCTGCCCGGTGGATGCTGAGAATTGAACTCAGATCTTCCGGAAGAGCAGCCAGTGCTCTTAACCACTGAGCCGTCTCTCCAGCTCCTTCTACTTTGTTCTCCGAGAAGAACCTGTCACTGAGCTCTGGAGCTCATGGATCTGGCTAGGATGGTTGATGAGGAAACCCCAGTGATGGGATTAAAAGCATGCACCCCCACACAGGTCTTTTATGCAGCGCTGAGGATTGAACTTGGGAGCTCACACTTGAGAGCAAGAAGCATGTTACCAACTGAGTTCTCTCTCTCTCTCCCTAGCCCCGTGATGTGGTCTGCATTGGAAGAGAATAGTCCCCAGATTGGATTTGGGGTTGGAGAGGCGGTAAATCATTCACCTCTTACTGTAAGCCGTCCATGCTGCAGGCCACCAATGGTGACCAACTGCACAGCACCAATGTCGTCATTGTCAACGATCTGAAACTGTTCCCAGGTGATGGCCCGAGACTGCCCTTCCAGGAGATTCAGACCTACAAGGGAAAATACAGAAACATGTCCTACAACATACCTGTCCAAGGTTAATGTGTTTTCACTCCTAAATCTGTCTCAGAGTTGTATCTTCAAATGCTTTTCATGAAACTTGAATATGGCTTTTGTTTTTAGTAAACTTGGCTCTAATTGCAATCTGACAGCTGATTCCTTAAGAACCTTGATGATACCAGAAACTAAATGCTGAAGGAAAGAGCAGAAGTTAGGCTCACAGAGGTCCCTAGTTTAAATGAGTGCACAGAGTTGTCAGAGATTATACCTATATGGTTTAGTGGACAAGAGTTAGAAGGGGTTTTACATGTGACTTATGAGAACATACATATCCCATGGGGTAGGGAATGCATAGTACTTCAATATCCTTATATAGAGCTACTGTACCTGACAATGTTTAAGTGCCTGGCACTTTGCAAAATAAAATGCACATTAATTTCAACGATAACTAGAGATAGATTTATGCAGCTAAAGGAATGCCATAAAACCTTTGCTTAGACTCAGTATGGCATAGGAAGTCTGGAGAGTTTCCATCACTGGTAATGGAGAAACACAGACTCTGAATGAAGCCCTGCATTACCATCAGACACCCTTCTCTCTCGGTAGACCTGGGAGTCGACAGCTCACTCTATGCTCACCCACCTCTAACTCTTCTCAGACACACTGGCTAGGTCTGTTTCAAGGAGACACCAGAACAACAGAATAATCCATATATCTTTCTGAAAAGCTGTGGCCAGCTCAGCCATATCACCTGCTAGAGCTTGGACTGTGAGCAGCTTTGCTTCCCCACAAGCTCCTGCCATGATGTGCTACCTCATCCCAGCCCCAGAGCAATGGGCCCAACTAACCCTGGACTGGATTTCTAAACCTGTGCTAGCCTGTCCTCCTTGTAAGTGGGTTGTCAGGATCGGGTCGATACAGGATCTGCCTCAAAGTCTGTTTCCGGGGGAAACTGGGCTAAGGCAGCTATGACTGTAAGAACAACAGAAAGGAAGAAGTGAGAAGAGGAAGAAGGGAGGAAGAGGGAGAGGGGAACTAAAGAGGGAGGGAAAGAGCCAGGAAGAGAGGGAGGATGGGGATAAGTGAAAGACAAGCAAATGTAAATAAGCCCCATGGCTGCTGAAAAGCCTCCCAGGTTCTTGGGGCCGTACTGGGGATCCGATATAGGGTTTCTGAAGTGACGAGTGCACACACAACACATGTGTGGCATCATGGGATACATCAGAAGAGCATCCAAGAAGACTAAAAGTCAACCGACACATCAAAATGCTAACAGCGACAATATCCATATTATATATAGTGGAGAAGTGATGTTATTCTTCTACTTAATATATTCTCTTAACTTTTCAATTGTAGCAGATACCAAGTTCATAATAAGCAAAAATTCATTTTAAAAAGGATTACAATGTCTGCAGCAGCCAGACCCAGACCTGGAGCTCCCTTGACGCATCTGAGCATCATACATCATACATACAGATGATTCCATCTTCTCACTAAAACACAGTGGCCTACACAAAAGTAGCATTGCTATTCAACTTTGGTTGACCAGTTTTTTCATTTCTCTCATTATCCCTCAAATAGCCAGAATTATTAGCCTAAGCTTAGAACTGGAATCAAACATGGATATATTCCTCTTAACATGACCTACAGCGCCGCTTGAAAGCATGTTTTGAATGTCATTGATGGTATTAGTGAGAAAAAAAAGCCATTTGCATTCCACATTTGCATCTGATCTAAATATATAAATCACATTCCCAGTCTACTTGGAATTGAGTGGCAGTGTAAAGCCCTCTTTTTTTTTTTAAGCTGCTTAAGCTCTTATTTACTTATTTTGGTTTCCATGCAACCCGCAGAAAACAGAGTGAGTTCCAGGCTCCACCTTGCTCCCGCTCCCCTGCAAACTCTGAGTCAGAGACCTCTTCTCTCTCAGTCCTACTCTCAGTCAGTGTCACAGGCAGCCACTTTCTGACTCCATTCGGCTGAGATGGGGACACTTTTATGGTGTCTCTCCCAGAGATGGAAGGTAGCCAAAGGACCCAAGGATGCTGGATTTCAGTTTCTCACCAGCTACTAGGAAAAAGCAGAAGCGAGGTAACTGTCTGCTGGTTTGGGTCTGTCTGGGTTTCCATTACCTCATGGATGAAATGGAATAAAAGTATTTTTCTTGACCCATCCACTTCCTTGTATCTCCCTCGGGACTACACCCACACCTGTATTCCAGGACACCCGGGGGGCATTTGTGTCTGCTGTTCTGATGGAGATGTGCACAGTGATGGGGGCACTCCTCTCAAAGAAGAAGTCGTACACCTCCAGCTCCACCTGGAAACAAACGAGTCAACAGTAGCCATACACAGACAAATTCAGGCTATAGTCCCATTAGTTCTGAACGGACGGACGGACGGACGGACACACACACACACACACACACACACACACACACACACACACACGGCAAAAATGGGTCCAGATTTGGTGTTGCTGTTCTCTCTTGCTTTAAATTTAATTCTATTTTTAAAATTAACTTTATAACAAATTGAGAAAAAAATAATATCCTATAAATCACCCCTTTTAATACACATAAATTTACCAAGTTGCACAATCATCTCCTGAGTAACCTGTTTTTCCATTACACCAAAGGTCCTCATGTCCATTACAGTCCCCCCTCCACACCACTCAGCCTACCCAAGCACCACTCAGCCTACCCAAGGGCCAGTATCTGTTTTATGTCTCTACATAGTTGCCCTTTCTAGAAATTTCACTTAATCACACTGTTTCCAGTGTGGAGCTATTATGAACAATTTCACTAAAACATTGAAAGAAAATGGAGTTGCTCTATTCTAGGAAGTAACTTATTTTTGTTAGGTCACTCGTTTCATTCCTACATACTATTTTTTTGGGTTCTGGTTTTTAATTCTTTAATTGACCATGATTGTACATATTTTGAGGGTAGAGTATACACAAAGACATGCATGTCTACACACTGTGCCCTAATCAGATCAGGGTACCTGACATATCTATATTATCAACTCTTGCATGTATCATTTCCCAGGGTAGGGAACATACAAATCCTCTCTACTATTTTGAAACACACACTCTAGTGCTATTATTTATTATTTTATGTACGTAAGAATACAGTCTATATAGAATATGTATATTCAGGGGTAGAAGCCTGGGTGTGCACAGAGACCAGAGGAGGAGAGTTTGTGTCCTACTCTCTTTGTGATCAAAGGGAACCTTGGAACAGGGTGTCTTACTGAGCCTGGAGCTAGGCTAACAGCCAGCAATCTCCCGTCTCTACCCTTTCCACGGCCCTCAGGACTCTAATGCCATTGTGGACTTCAGATTTCTCTGGACAACTGAGAGCTATGTCCACACGCAGTCCACCTGGATTTCACACCACAGCCGTGGGTTGGAACTAAAGCTGCTGCTCACTAAGACAAAAGACCTTCTTTCTTCAGCCTGTCAGACCAGCGTCTCTTCAGGCAGCCCTGAAGTGCACAGCACTGTGACTTGCAGAATCAGGTCTCCTCTGAGAAGCTGAGGATCCAGCAGACCCAAGGGCTAATGGAAGGCGGCTTTCCAATACTTATTTGAAATCCACCAGGCTGGACGCTTCCCCTCCCTTCCTTCTCACCTTCCTTCTCACCTTGTAATGTCTCCTCTCCGGATAGCTGCTGTTTGGTGGCTGGTAGGCAACTTGCATGTGACTTAGATCCTTCCAGGTGAATGAAGAGATGGGTCTGGTGTGATCCAGCAGGTGGGTCACATAGCCCTGGAGCGGGGCTTTGGTGATGTTGAACACCAACAAGGGTTTGGGGGTCTCATCTTCCTCACAGTCCAGAACTGAGGTTGTCAGGGGGGTCAGGATGAATTGGTCCACCTCCAGGACAAACATGGCCATGAATGCAGCCCTCGGAGCCTGGTTAGGAATGCCGACTCTAATAGAGACGGGCAACCACGCGCTCTCTGACTTTTGAAGGAGAGAAAAAAATAAAAAGGAGGGAAAGACATGAATGAAGTTGTAATGTGCATTGTTAATGTCACCCTATATAATGAAGCTGCAGCCCAGAGGATGGCCCAGCTGTGACCACTAGCTACATCTTAGCATCACCTGCTGACCATCAGAAACTACCTCCAGATGTTCACTGAATTATTGCAAGGAGGAAACCAGAAAACTGGTAATCTAGAGCTTCCTGATGACGCCAGTGTACAAAAAAGATTTGGAATGGGGCACCTATTTGGTATCAGAAATAACTATGTGTGTGACTCTGTGTGTGTGTGTGTGTGTGTGTGTGTGTGTGTGTGTATACACGTGTGTACGTGTGTACGTGTGTGCTCGTGCACATGCGCATGTGTGTGTATCACATTCATGCAGGAGCCCATGGAGGACAGAAGAGGGCATTGGATCCCCTGGAATTGGAAGTACAGGTGGTTGTGAGCCACAATGTGGGTATAAGAACAGTGGGAGTTCTTAACTGCTGAGCTGTCTGGCCAGCCCTGTGCTTGGAGCTTTAGTACTTGTTATTTGTATGATGTTAGACTAGTTCCACAGTTCCTAAATCCCATGCTCCTCTCACCTATAAATGGAATATAAATGGAAACTCTAGACTCCCATGTATTAAATGAAACCATGAAAGTAAAGCACCAGGCTGTGCCTGGCACAGCCACCAGTGACCTCCACAGGCCACATGGTTTCAAAGGTGGCAGAGGAAGGCAGGGGGTGGGGGAGAAGGGTTTTTGTCTTCATCCCCGTGCGCTTGTGCAGCTCAAGGGGGTTGTCCAATTGCCTAACAGAACAAGGGAACGGCAAGGGACCACTGAAGCTGGAAATGTACCCTCCCCAAATGAGAGAGCCACACTCAGAAAAGGGCACCGTGACATTGAGGTCTCAGTGAGGGGTATGGGAAGGAAGAAGCCTGGGAGCAGTAGACCTTTGCTGTCATGGGTCTGATGTGACCCACTGTTGTGAGAAGCAGGCTCGGTGATCGAAATCACTAATGTCCCATACACTGGAGTTCTGAATACTGGGCCTGGAGTAGGGAGAGAATGTTCAGGCAAGTTTTCTTCACTTGCTCTTAGCTGAAAGACTGACAGATGATATCCTGCATCAGTCTCAACTGAAGTCCACAAATTAAAAAAAAAAAAAAAATAGAGATAGAGAGAGATACATCGGATCTCAAAAGTAAGAAAGACGCTATATTCAAAATGTATGTGAGTCTGTTGGCTCCAGACTCTGGAACACTCTTGATTACTCTAGGAAACAATAATAACAAGAAAGATAGAGAAGACTTATCTGGGGAGAAGAGTACTGAGCTGACTTTCCAGCCAAGCTTCCCAAACCCATGAAGGCCGAGGCTGTGGTAATGCCATATCCTTTGCCTCGGGCATCAGCAGAGGATGTTCCTTGTAGAGCCTTACACTGTCCAGGCACAGCAGGCAGAGGGCTCCTTCAAGGACCACCCCTGAGGAAACTAAATTGCCAGAAATGGAATAATGGTGGCCCATCCTCATTTAATACTTGCGAGTCCAGATTTTCCATTTCTAAGTGGGGAGACCCAGAGACTTAAGAGTTAGAGATCTTGTTTAGATTCAACCTGTCCTTGTGTATGTCAGCAACTGACATGTGAATGTTCCCATGCCACATGGGGCAGGGGACTGGCTCTGGGTTCATTCTGGATCCTGACCTATGGAGACCATCCTTCAGAAGATAAAAGTCCAGCACCATGAACCTGGAGAGATAAGTCATACTCTACTGACTGCAATAAGCATTGCAGGTGGTGGCCGAGGCTAGGGAGGAGTGAACCCTCCCTTCTGGGACAGAGGGAGAGGCTCTGAGATGGAGCTTTCCAGAGAAATCGGGAAATTACACGGAGACAACAAAGCAACCTGAAACATCTGGCCAGCTCAGAGAGTGTGAAATCATTTTCAACTGGTTCCCAGGCAGGTGAGACCTGCCTCCCCTGTACCCTCCCTCTCAATCGCCAGCCCAAGCACCAGCAGAAAGGTTCAGAAACTGGCCAGCAACATCTGGAAGAAGAGACACTCGAAAGAGAAGCAGAGGAACCAGCCCTCTTTTCCCCACAGCAGAGAGACAAAAAGAGCGTTATTCTGAAGTACCTCAGGGACCATATCTGCCCATGACATGTCACTGGAAAACAACAGTGAATAGAAATCTTGGTCTTAAAGAACTAGGACTCAACAGTGAGACCATTAAGTGTAGAGCTAAAATCTAAATACGCGCATTCTTCTTCTTTTTTTCCCTCTGAGACAGGATTTCTCTGTGTAGCCCTGGCAGTCCTGGAACTCACTCTACAGTCCAGGCTGGTCTCAAACACACAGAGATCCGCCTGTCTCTGCCTCCCGAGTGCTGAGACTAAAGACAGTGCCACCACATCCTGGGGCTCTAAATGCATTCTTTGAAATGTGAAAAAAAGAAAAAGAAAAAACACAACTGTCAATAGTACAAACTTACTTAAAAGACATATTGTGTAAGAAATAATGAGACACAATGGCCTTACATCCGAAATGAAATTTCCAGTGGTATTAATGGAGCCTGGGAACCGCCACAAGGAAAGATTAGAACAATCTTCAAGCATAGGTAGGAGCCAAAAGAGCCCTCTGCAATTCCTGATTTTAAATAAGATTAATATAAGTTAAAGAATATTTGTTTGCTTTCTTATTGTGCTGGGAATCAAACCCAGACCTTGTGCATGCTAGAAAAGCACCCTAACACTAAGTGACTATTCCCAGCCTTTAGAATACTTCTTAAATTTAAACAAAATATAAAGTGAAAGAAAGGACTTTCAAATGTGCAAAATTTGGTCAAATGAAATATACCACACTCTGTAAGACAAGTGTGCAGTGTGTGTGTGTGTGTGATACTGAGAATCAAATCCAAGACTTTGCACATGCTAGGAGATATTTTCTTTTTACTGACAAAAATACATAAATAAGTTGACAGAAAAAGCCACATGTATCCCTTATTACTATAATATAGTTTATATTTCCTTAATCAAGAAGAAAAATTTAAAAAGTCAAGAAAATGCCCAGTCATGTGGACCTCCCATAAAAGACACTTGGGATTCATAGAAAGATTGAAAGTAAAAGTGTAACCCAGATTTATGATGTAAAAAACAACCAGAGTGGCCGCATTCATTTCAAATAGATAGAATCAAGGCAAGAAGCATTAAAGAGGACAATGTGTCCCGCTGAAACAGATAGACCACCCGAGACAAAAACTGCCCACAAGCAACATTATATTTAGTATTGTTCTGACCACACGGGTGGAGAAGAGACCAGAAGTAAAAGGAATAATTACAGGAAAAAAGGCCCAAATTATCATCATTAGTAAAGATATAATTACGGTCTTTTGAAGCCAGAGAATCGAAAATTTCTTAAAATAATTGAATTTAGGAAAGAAGCCAGATAAAGGAAAATTATACCAAAAAGTTGCATTCCTATTTACCATCAATAACCAATGAAAAGACACCATGAGAGGAAAAGATCCTGTTCCCGGTAATTTCACAAGAACTTCTCGGGACTGGACTTCAGAAATGTGCTCGATCCACACAGAGGAAAGTCTCCTTTCCATTGACATGTACGATGATGTTTGTCCAGCGGGAAGAGATGCTCTGTATGAGAAAACTCGGGTTGGCAAAGTTCTCACAGGCCAACTCCTCCTCAAAGAATTTTCAGTTTTAATCTAATGTTGATTTAAAACAAACAACTTAGAGGCTTTGAAAGTAACCTACTTAATAATTTATCTGGAACCAGAAATCAGGCAAGAATGGCTAAGGAAAGTCTAAAGATGAGCGGTGCCCAGGCCTTCACGTCATGGATCAGATCACACAGCTGTGGCACTTAGGGGTGACATGGTACCATCAAAGAAAGGAGAGGGGAAAGGAATAAGAAGTTAGCCTATGGGTCATTTCTACAACAGAAGGATTGTCCACTATCCCTGGGAAACAAGTACGTACTTCTAACAAACAGCTCTGCAGACTTGGCTACCTGGAGAAAAAGAATTCCTTGCACTTCACTGTGCAATCAAACTTACCTTAGGTGTTACGAAGACAATTGTGAAGAGAACGGCCTTGAAAATCATAGAAGAAACTGGGCTGCAGGTGTCCCTCAGTGGGTAGGGCACTTGCCTAGCACTCATGAGAGCCTCTATACAGTCCCCAGGACTGATAGTAATTAATTAATTGATTAACTAATTAATTAATGGAGAAGAGTAAAATTAAGTGTGAGTGTGCATTTAGTCTCTTGGCAAGAATGATCAGTATAGCCACAAAAGTAACTGAAGGACAAGATTCAAAGCTGTGCAGATAAATTGATGTCATGAATCAAAATGAGTTCCATGGTCCTCACAGTGTCTGTGTGCAAGAAAATGATTACCAATAATAACAGTTTTATTTCCTTATTTTCCCATGTGTTTAATGTTTTTCTCAGTGTGCACACGGCCCTCACATTTATTTAGAAATGAACCTATTTTGTGACTTGTCAAAATGAAAAAAACTAAGAAGCTCATTTAGAAGGACAACCTCACCATGAAAGTGACCCAAAAACACAAATAAAGCCTTTGACACAGTGAGGGAACAATTATGAAAAAAAATCAATCAAAAAGAAAAATACCTAACATTTTTAATGGAGGGAAGAAGTCGTTGATAATGAAGGGAGTTTTGTAACAAAACAAACAGACAATATGTGCTAGTGCAGTGGAATCCAGTTTTGATTCCACCAGCCATAAGACAACCATACATAAACAGCAAGGCCACCACTATGAACAGGAGGCTGCGCTACACTAGTACTTCAAACCTGGCTGGTCACAAGTTATTTCTGTTGGTGGCTGTTTAGCAATAGTGTACACAAGCTCTGTAGCAAGCATTTTACAAGGATGGTCTCACTGAGCATCCTCAGTTACTAAGAGTTAGGCTGCAGCATCCTCACTTAAGATGAAGAAAATGAGACATAAAGTCTCAAGCCAGATGGCTAGTTAAATATATGTATATCTGAACCCAGGTGACTTGGGCACCAGCATTCATAACTACTAGCTACACACAGGGAAACCTATCCTTTGAAAAGCTCCCTGACTGATCTGGGTGATCAATTGGGCAAGACGCCCTCTAAGTTTTACTCTCAGATCTGAACTATAAAATTCTGCAGTCTTGTTTCATCATTTTCTAATCATTTATGGAATCACCAATTTCTTGGGTACTGATATTCACCACTAGACTGGGTTTATTTGGAGAAACGCTTGTGGGAAGGCAGAGAGTAATGCTGGAGGTCTTACCCAAAGTGGCCCTGGATCATCTATCTCATAGTGACAAAAACCTGGGCCTCATCTGCAGGGACACTGTTTCCCCCATTTCCCAAACAAACCGTAGAATATGTGAGCATTGGAGTGGCATACTAAATATTTCATAAAGTCTCATCCATGTTGAATCATCATTTCAGTGTGAAAAAAAATTGAAAGGAGGAGGGCCAGGAAAATGAAGACTTAGAAAGCTGGAGGAGCCTTTGGAGACCTCTCCCCTCAGTGACCCAGGCCCCCGTCCTAAGGTGTGATCATGCACAAGTGATACACTCCACTGCAGATGTGAAATGGGACTAGGCTGTCTTGCCTCTCAGTGCCTTGTGGCCTTATAGAGAAGATGCCTTCATGTCAAGGAGGAAAAAAGGAACACTGGAGAAAAGGCTTTACAAAGGGTCAACCCATAAACAATGTAGAAGAGGAGCTAGGGTAGGTGTGAGGCCAAGTCCGCTCTTAGCATACACGGGGTTTCAAGTTCAATCTTCAGTGCGTGTGTGTGCTTGCATTCACACATGTACATCCCCCCCCCACATATATATGTATATACATATATATGTGTATGTACATATACACACACACACACACACACACACACATATATATATATATATATATATATACACACACACATTGGCTGTAGGTGGAAGATAGCTAACATGTGAACAGCCCCAGTCCCTTCCTCATGGTGTAGAGCTACAGAAGAGACAAAGATGGAAACATCATGCTTATTTTACATGCCTAAGCTGCTGGTTGAAGTGCTTCCAGGCACAACCCCCAAGCCTGAAGTCGTGCCCTCAGTAACACAGGAACTCTTCTGCACAGACACAGCATGGGCACCCCCATGGAACTAACTGCTTTCTTACAATGAACCAGCTAAGGACACCAACGCATAACTCCAGACTCTACCTTGTACGTGGCTTTACTCCTTCGGTCCGTGAGATCCAGCTGGATGGCAATATAATCAACGTTGGGCGAAGGGGGTTGTGTGTGTTGGTAGTGAAGGCCCATCAGCAGGAACTCCTCACAGCTCACTTTCAGACTTCCCACTTTCTGCAGGCCCAGGGCACAGCTTCCACCTGGACACTTCAGTCCTGCCCCCAGCTCTAGAATGCATAGCACTGAATTGAGACAGCCATCTGAACACAATGACAGTACAAACCCAAAACCATTCTCCTGCCTTGGATATATCCTCACTCACTGGCCCAGGACACTTCTACATGGACCTCCCACTTATTCACTGACTAGATTGTCATTGTTCTGAAAGGTCATAAATTCCTTTACTAGAAAAATAAAAATATAGTTGACCAGTTGTCTCATCTGGCTTTGCCCACCAAAAGATTAGGCTCAGGAAAAAAATAATTAAAGAAGGGTTTTGTGGTATTTGAATATCTCTGACAAATATGCCAGTAGCTCACCGTGGAATTCACAGCCCAGCCACTGTTACATTATGTTTTACATTACACACAACCTCTTGTGGGCCGTCTCCCCACAGAAATCCCACCTCCCCGACCCTGGTTGGTCTTTTTAACAAACCTTTCCTTAACCCTTCTCGACCCCTTGAACCAGTCTGTTTTTGAACCCGTGGCTATCTCTAAAGGACTCTGTCTCTCCCAGCTGTATTTTCACTCTTGCTCAGGGACTGGTATTTCCATAACATAAGAAGCAGATACTCTACTTCTTAATCCAGTGATTGTGATAACAAAACGACATGCCTGATGCTCAACATCAGCTGTAAGCTTCTGCCCCAAATCCCAGGTAACACTGCTTATCTCTAGGTCTTCCCATGGTTGCTAGAATACCACTATGCAGATAGAAAGCGTTCAAAATGTACTGACTGTCTGACTAACACAAGGAGCACTGTAAAATATAGTAACCGAATGAATTCCACAGGGGAAATTCAGTCAACATCCTGGATTTCAGTCCTGGCTGCTACCTACAGTCTTTACTAGAATGCAACCTCGTAATCCTCAGTAAAGAACAACCTCCTCTCACCACTGCTGCATTAATATGCTGTAATCATAGCTGGAAACTCACGAGCACTATAATGGGCCAGACCTGTGCTAAGTGCACTGTGTCCTTACTCCATCTTTATACAGCCTTGTGGAATGGCTCTTCTCTTTTCCCATCTAACGGAGGCTTAAACCCATTGATAAGTAAATTAATAACAAAAAAACAAACAGCAAACCCAGGTTTTTCTGATTCGGACTCCAAATTCACAGCCTTAACTCACCTACATTTTTCTTCTGTTTTTTGAATGTGTTTTTAGTTACACTTTAATTTTATTTATTTTGTGGAACTCAGTTTTCTCCCTTTGCCATGTAGGCCTGATGATCAAATTTAGGCCAGCAGGCTTAAGGTCCCACTGGTGTGCATGTGCGTGCGTGCGTGCGTGCGTGCGTGCGTGCGTGCGTGCGTGCGTGTGTGTGTGTGTGTGTGTGTGTGTGTGTGTGTTGTGTCCAAAAGAACAAGGTCAGAGGACAATTTGGAAGAGTAGGTTCTCTCCTTACCCCATGTGGTTTACAGGCATTGACCTCAGATCAGGCTTGGTGACAAGTACCTTTATCCACTGAGCCATCTCAGTTATATAACCCTAACTTACATTTTCAACAAGCTAAAAACTATATTTGTTAAGTAGAACTCTTCATCATAGTGAAAGATGAGCATTTACAGACAGTTTGGTCAGTTTGGATAACCTTAACTATTAAGAGGTACATACGGGTCTCAGGAAAAAAGCTGTGGGGCTGATCTCCACGAGGTCCCTCTGGCTTACGATTCATCACAACCAGCTTGCCATGGGCTGGCAGCTGAGTGCCCACTGGGTCCAGTCTGATGGTGCAGTCCAGGTTGGCTGTCCTATCATAATCAAACTGGAGCAGGTTCTTATCAATGGCTTGGGATAAGCCATAGAATTCAGTCACTTCCAGCATATTCCTGCTTAGACGGATGATGTTACAGTCTGGCTCCACAAGATGGACTCGAAAGAGAAAGGTTTCCATGAAGGTGTCAGTTTCAGTAAATCTGGAGAGAGAACAGGGTCAAGGGCATATTTATGGGTGCACAGATTATTCTGAGATTTGTACACTCATCTTAAACATTGTCCTTCATGAGCAGGGTATGGTGATGTATGCCTCTAATCCCAGCTGAGGCATTTCCTCCCAGAGTATCAGCTTGCACTTCAGGAGGCAAGACCAGGGGTCCCAATAGCATGCCCCAAGATCCTTTCAGGCAATCCAGGCTTTTAAATAAAATTCGCTGATCAGTTTTATTACCAGTTTGAGGACAGCCTGGGATAAAGACTGCATTTGAGGCTAGCCTGGGCAATTTAGTGAGCCCCTAATTCAAAGAGAATCAAGGCCAAAGCAAAATAACAACAAAAATTGTCCTTCACAAAATGTGTACTTCAGGTGGAGTTTGGTTCTATTTCTTCCTTGACTTTTGGCCCCCTGTTTCCATGGCTTTGTCTCTACCTTTGGGCCAATGCTTTTTCCTGCCACTTTCCTCCTGAACCATCTCTCTTCCAAATCCTGCTCTCCAACTCACCACCCATCCTAATATCTAATGACTGCCGAGACCCCAGAGTCCCAGTTCTAGCACAGGCATTATCTAAGAGCTTAAGGGCTATAGAGTTTATGGATTTTGAGTTTCAATTTAGGAGTGAAGAAGTGTTGAGTATCAAGAACTTTTGTCCTTCAGAAACGCCACTGAACGGATGGTTCTTTACTTCTAATTTGGATGTTCAGCTCAGCACTTGCCAGGTAAACTAAATGAGTAATGGCTACTGCCACAGTGATTCTGTTCTGGGGCATCTGGAGAGGCGACTGGGGATGGATTGTCATGCTGTCGAAGTGAGAGGGGCAGTAAATGATGAGTGCTCCCTGACAATGCAACTCTGACCTGATGCATTTGTAATGTGGTCCAGGTGTTTTAATACGGCCTTCACCCCAACTCCATAGGACCCTGCAATAGGCAATGTCTATCCCCTTTCACCAAAGAGGAAACAAAGGCAGAGAGAAGTCAAAAAGCTTGACAAAGAGGTTGACGAGGAGATTAAGGGGGAGTAAACTGCTCCCTGGCCCCTTGCCTCCAGCCCTTCTGAAAGCTCTACTTCAAATGTCCTCAAGACCAAGTGCATGGCAGCTCCCTAACCCTCGTTGCATGAGCCCTTTCTCAATCTTCCTACATGCTAGAAAGTCAAAGGGTCTGAAGCACCAGCTCCCTAGATTTCCTGGCAAGTTGTTTGAAGTTGATTTGGTGTTGAGTCTAAAGTCTAGAAAGACCAAACACCCCTTCATACTGATGTTGTAGCTTCCTAGGGAATCCTTGGTGTCATTTTGTTTGTGACTTTCTTTTGGTGGTTGTAACTCTAGTAGCCCCCTGATTGCCTCTCCTCCAGCTTCTGGCAACCACCAATCTGCTTTCTATTTCTATGGACTCACCTCTTAAGATATTTCATGTAAATGGAACCGTATAATACTTGTTCTTTTGTGGCTGGCTGCTTTCACTTAGCATAATGTTTTTAGGGTTAATTCATGTTGTACAAATCAGGACTTCATTAGTTTGTGTGGCTAATATTCTATTGTGTGGTTATACCCTTCGTCAGTTCAATTTGTTCAGCATTTTTAGCTATCATGAATAAGGCTTCGCTGAATAACACTTCACATAAGCTTTTGTAAGCATGGGTTTTCTCTTGTGTAGATAGGTTGGAGGTGTTTTACAGGATTATATGGTCGATCTATGTTTAATTTCACAATTGATTTTAAACACACTTGTATTATTTAATGTTTAGAAATGGAAGATACTGAACCTTCTATAACTAAGCAGCTGGCCATCAAACAGAAGAGTCTCATTCAGTTTTGTAACACATGTCTGTCAGATTCTCATAAGGAACTTGTACTTGTCATTTTCACCACAGTAATAGGTTGGACTACCAGAGTTAAGTCATGGGATGGAGTAACAGAAATCTCTGCAAAGACTGGAGGAAACAAACTGAAGTCAGTAGTCTGTAGAAAGGCTCCGAGGAGGAAGAGACAAATGAATTGAAGATTGTCTGCAATTGCTGCCTCACTCCCTCAGATCTCCAGTGTCTGCTGATTACTGTCTTACTGGATTCTAACGACTCCTCTCGGTAACATACAGTCACAGAAAATGCCCAAGAAGGACACAGCATGACTGTCTGGCAAAAAATAAAATAAAATAATAAGAACACTTTCTATGGTACTTACCTGTAAAGTCTAAGCCTCACGGAGTCTTCATCGAGAATTGGGCATCCGTTGTGAACATACTGTACTTCGTTGGGAAGGAAATGGCAATCAAAGACCTAGTTCACATGAAGAAGGAAATTGTCTGAGAAAACCAGGGCAAAGCTTTATTTCTCCAGCCCTGTAGCACTGCCGGAAGAGCTGGTTGTGGGGACACACACTTGCAATCACAGCACTTGGGAAGTGGCACAGGAAGATCATCACAAGTTCAAAGTCAGCTTGGGCTACATAGTGAGTTCAAGGCCAGTATCAACGTCAAACAGACAAACAAACCAGAGCTCCTGAAAGGGAATAAGAGGTAATTTATTCCGGAGCCATTTTGAGGGACTGTGGCCTGAGAGTGCAGGTTTGGGTTATCCTAAATCCCATGTTCTAACATGGCAGCAGTTTCATAGCTTCACACAACAAAAAACTCATTAAATCAGGACAAGTTTCAAATCCAGTGGGGGTGCATCAGAGAGGTGAGTATAGCAAGGTGGGGAAGTTTTTGTTTCGTTTTGCCTCAGATGTTATCTGGTGACAGCTTAGCTTTGCTAAGTTAATAGATTTCAAAAGGTTTTTATCTAACAGACACAGGATGTTAGTTCTTACATGGAACTGGGCAAGAAATGGCTATTTAGTCTCTGGACCAGCAACATTCCAACCTCTCCACATCACTGAGGCCTTAATCAGTCAACCAGCCTTTGCAGACACAGCTTCTTTGCAAGATTCCTGTTCACACCAGCCTGGGCCACCTAGTGAGACTGTCTCCAAAAAAAAAGAGGAGGAGGAGGAAAAGGAGAAAGAGGAGAAGAAGGAGGAGGGGGGAGGGGAGAAGAGGAGGGAGCACCTTTGTTTGATTAATGGTGGGGGTGCAGGCATCTTTTTACCAGCAACCCCTTCTTCCCTACCCTATGGCCACACATCCTCTTACTTATCATTGTGCCTTGTTTTGTTGGTGTCTAAATTATGATAATCCAAACAGGTCAAACAAACAAACTAATGGATGTCACATCTCCAAATAACTACATGTCTATAAACTATAATGTTTTGTAAATATCTGCTTTTCATTAGAGGAATTATTTTTCCCCTTCAGAAGCTCATGGCAACTGAATTCGAGAGGTCTTTCTTTCTATGTGCCTGGGTAACCCATTTACCACAAACATGCTGTTCTGTGCGGCTTTTCTTTCTTTCCTCCTTTCTTTCTTTCTTTCTTTCTTTCTTTCTTTCTTTCTTTCTTTCTTTCTTTCTTCCTTTATTTTTTTATTTATTTATTTATTTATTTATTTATTTATTTATTTATTTTTCATATAAAGTCTTTATGTTCAAAGATGGAGACCCTGGCTGTGTTGCTGAGAGCCAAACAAGACCTACAGTTGTTTCTCACACTCTTGCGAATGACAGCTTTGATAGTTATGGGGATAAAAACAACTGGCTGATAAGAATCCAAAATAATTTACTCTCCTTCAATGAAGTCATAATTAACCACACCACCTCACTCAGAATCAGTAGAGAGATGACTATTTTACATTAGGACCCTGGTTTTTGTTCTTTTTTGTTTTTTAAGACTTCTGCCCAAGTCACAATCCTGCCCTGTCCTGACAGAGATGACAAAGTTCTGAGAAACATCTTTGTGCTCACCCACACATCACTGTGAGGCGTTCTGAGAACCTTTTACAGCTTCAAACGTTTCCAGACAACATAACCCACCCCGGGAAGACATTCTCACTAGTAAGAATGAATTTCTAGTCCTCTTCTGAATTGACAACCAGGAAGATAAAGGGAAGCCCTTCCCATATCATTGACAAATAGCCACGGTAATAAAGAGACAATCTGCTTTGTTAAAAGAAACATCTGTTCCATGTTTCCTAATATGTTTTCCTTTTATAAAAGGCGACAACCATGATTGACCATAAATTTACTAACTAAAACAAAGGAGAGCTAAATCCTTTTCTAATTACTGTCTAGCTTTGTTTTTTTCCACTTCAACTGCTTTTCAATTACAATTTATAATTAAATTGTCACACATTCCTGACTCATTACTCACTTTAATGACAGTGAAGTGGTTCAAACTAGAGATGTTTTCTTAATGCTGTGCTTCAGATTCAAAAACAGCAAGCTCAGCACTAGACCAAGGTGATTTTTCCACCCAGTGAACGTTTTCCTCTGGTCCAGGTGCGGAGTGCTGGGGTAGGCGGGGAAGTCTTGCCCTGGAATCTGAGAGCACACTGCCATTGATCTGTCTAAACTGGCTATCCGGGAGGAAATGGAGACAGACGGCACTCGCACAAACCCATGCAAGTGGCTTTGCAAATATGCAATGGGAATGAACCTGTTGGTTCTAAGACAAACTTCAGTAATGAAATGAAAACACTAATTGAACAGATGTTAAACAAAGCAGTTCTGTGCAAATCCCACAAAACTGTTCATTACGCAGCAGGGTGTTGTTAATACAATAGTCTTGCTAGGAATGGGTTCACATAAGCCTAGCTCGAAGCTTACTGTTAAGCTCTATTAAGGAATAATGTTTGTTTAGCTCTGTGTGTGTGTGTGTGTGTGTGTGTGTGTGTGTGTGTGTGTGTGTGTGTTACATGTATACTTACACACTTAGCCATGCTTAATTCAAAAATTCAAAAATAATAAATAAATCCCTGGGCATGGCTGAACCACTTTGGATTTAAAGCAAGCATAAAATTTCCTCAAACCAGACTTTACCTGGGAATCTTACCTTTGCTGAAATTATCAGAACTTAAAATTAGAAAAAAAAAGATGGAGAAAAACAATGTTTCTACACGCATATCTATGGCACATGGTAAACTGGTAATGAAGCTTGGGGTTTTAATGGGCTACCATGAAATAGATTTTAGAATGTGCAGATCACATGTCCACTTGAGATGCTGCAAAGCCTTCTGCTATGTCATATTTACTTCTAGAAACACACACACACATACACACACACACACACACACACACACACGCACACACACACACACACACACCTTCAGTACCAGACTGGACTCTTTTCCAAATGACCAGAAGACACTAGATGACAGGGCACTTGGAGGTGTTCCTGAATAGTCAAGAATTTCCTAATCTAGCTGGGTATTTTGTTGTGTCTGATGCACATTATCTTCCTGATAACTGGATCTTTGCCTTAAAATCAGAGAAAGTTTGCCAGAGATGACTGGAAGGTCTTACTTACTCTGTGAGATTCATATTTGCATGATGAAAATGTCATCATGATTTACCTATGTCATTGTGGGGTCTGAGTAGGACTTAAAAATGTCTCAAAATCAACAGGATCCAACTAAGAAATCAGTCTAGGAAACTCGCTGTCCTCTCCAAAGATGCTTCACTTGCAATGAGTGAGAGAATTGAGAACCAGAATAACCCTGTAAGGGTGGTCACAGCATACCCTCCAAGTGACCGCTCACTACTGTCTGTCTGTCTTTCTCTTTCTCTCTCAATCTCCTTCTTTCTCAATGTCTTTCTCTCAACATCTCCCTTTCCCTGCTTCTTTCTCCCCTCTCTCTCCCTCTCCCCTAAAATAAGAGACCAAGAAACCGGTCATTTTCTTACATTCTCTTTTTTCACACTGGATTAATAGCTACTCTCTAGGGTCAAGCACCTGGTATGACCCGGAATTTCTCTGCAATGAGAAAAGACACCGGGAAGATTTATTGGTCACAGTGCATTGCTAAGGAAAAGATGGACACGCATCTGTATGAGTTTAACCCTTACTTCCTGCAATATGCTAGATTCAGATAAAACCACATCAGTGGCAGGCTTATCATATGGATCCAGTTGAGAATATTCAAAACTAGGGCTGGTGAGATAATGCAGAGGGTAAAGGCATTTGCCACCAAGCCCGATGACCTGCTCAATCCCCATGGCTCAAGGAGAAAATCGGCTCTTGAACATTCTTCTTTAGCCTCCACAAGCATGCTGTGGCATGCCCGTGTCCACGCACACACAAATAAATAATTACAATTTTCAAAGTTGTCAAAAATGTGCTCCACCTCTTTGAGAAAAGCAATAGGATCCCATGCCTGTGCCTTTCAATATCTTAGTTTCAAAGACTATACAACGCTCATAATGATGGCTTGAGAGACCCTTTACCTATGCCTTCTGACTTACACACATACACACACACACACACAGCATGTGACCTACCTGTGGAGTGAGTTTCCCAACCCTCTGGGTTATCGGCTCATTCATCACCACCTCCACTCGACAGGCATCCTTCTCTTTGGGGATGGCAAACTTCAGATGATCTTCAGACAGGAAGGCAGAACTGCCCTTCATCACCCTCAGGCCCCGGTTGATGCTGATGAAGGTGGAATTGGCCAGGTCCAGAAGCAGTGGGAACAGCAAGAACAGCAGGGCCTTGGGCCCAGTACAACCCGGAGAGTTCATGATGCCCTGGCCAGGTCTGTCCGCAGGTACAATCTGCTCAACAAAGCAGGACTCCTGTACTTCCTCCCAGAGTGTCAGCTCGCAGTCCACGGGGTGAGACCAGGGGTCCCAATAGCATGCCCCAAGATCTTACCATGCCCCTTCCATTCAGACTCAGACAAGGAGGCCTTTGAGGCGATCTGGGCTTTTTAATAAAACTCGCTGATCACTCCTGACAACGCTGGCAAGATTAATGTGCCTCCCAAGTGCTTTCCTAATCCTGCAAACAGGAGAAGAGGTTTGGAGGAAACGGAGAGAGACCAAAGGTTTGTGCAGCTATTTAAAGAACCGTTCCCAACAAAAGGATCTTTCAGCTGGCCTATAATTTCAGCTAAATTAAAAGCAAATAAACTAACTTGACCTTCAGGCCCACCCGGAAGACAAGGAAGCCATTTCATTACTCCGCTTGTAGCTGTTGTTTCCGGATGCAGAGGACCTCATGGAATGTCAACTGTGTGGTCCAGCAGGATCCCCTGCCTGGTCGCTGGAGCGCAGCAGCAGGTCCTGGAGCTCAGTGCAAGCAGAGTGCTCTTTGCTTCCCGTCCCCTATTTGTTAAGTGAGGGCCACTCTGTTTTGTGTCAGAAACCTGATAGCACGATCTGTACATTGTTTGAGAACATGGGTAATTCAAAATCAATGGAACCCAGCTAAGAAGTATGCCCAACAATGGTCCAGTGAACTTAGATGGGCGATGAGGTCACCTAAGAGACTCTTCAGTGGAAACTGGTAAAGATGATTCTTTTTTTTCTAAACAAGCATTCAAGCTCTTGCTTATACACAGTGGGACTTTGAAGAGAGAGTGCCTTGGCTCAAAGTACACAGCGAATGGCATGTATGGGCACGCACTGACCTCATCATCTACAGGGCTAATTCTGTCATAACACGCTTGATTTGCTCAGATGGACTTGTGTTCCTCTCCAAAACACCATGATTATATTTTCTGTTCTTTAAGAACTGAAAAGACTTTAAAATAAGTGTATTCTAGCATGTCCCTAAATCCATTTAGAGGACTAGCGGCAGTTTGCTATGTCTATGGAGAAGCTTAGTGGTAGAGTGCTTGCCTTAGAAACTTACACCTTCCTAATTTCAACCTTTCCCTACAGAGGAACTGTAGAATAAATAAGTGAAAACGAGGTGAGTGTCAGTGAGTGTTCATTAAAACCCTGCGGCACTCCTTTCCCCCACACGGCTCCCTGCCCTGCCTGCTCTGCACACCCTCTCATGCCCTCCAAGGCCACCACCACCCAGCAGCTCTCGAAGCACAGCAGTTAGTGGCAGCGAAGACTTTGATGAGCACCACAAGAAAGTCCAAAGAAAGATGGCCAAGGAGTTTAGCTCACCTCTCGTGACAGCCAAAAGCTCATCATAAAAATGCAGACCACTTTGACAAGTAGTTTCCTTATAATCTGTGAGAGAAGTCTGAAGAAACTACAGCCAATGGCAGGAGAAGTCAGCCCGTTGACGATTTTGCAGATGGTGCACAGTTCTGCATAAGGAACGGAAGGGGTGGTCATATGCAGCAAGGAAGTTAGGAAAAGCGTGGGGGTTGGTGGGAAGCGTGGGCAACAACATCTCCTGCGTGCAGGGCTGTGGAAAAGAGGAATGAAAGCCCCATCATCATCTTGGGACAGGACTCACTAAGACAGTGAGCGCCAGCTGGGCCCAAGGAACATTTCTTCAAACCACAGCTTTTTTCTTTGCTTTTTTAAAATCACGGTGTTTCTCATTACCTTTACCACAAACAGTTTAAATGAAATGGTTTCAAAGCATTGGTTTCATTAGATCATGCCTTTGATTGATAAAGAAATGTGTTTGTGCTGCTTTTACAAATGCCTTGTAGGGTCCACCTCTAGTACATTAAAGGGAAATTTGTCCCATGTCATTGTTTGAAACCTTTCACAGATGGCATCTGTCCTGTGTCACCTGAGGGGGTGTAAGCTTTACAGATCGGCCTGTTTTTTAATGATGTCAGTCCTAAAATAAAGCTGTTCACAGACTCCCACTGACCATGCTGTCCACACTCAAGCTATATTGGCTTATTTGTGTAAAAATGCAAATTTGGTTGTGGAATTTTTCACAACAAAGTCAAATCATCTTACCATTTCCACTTGTCGTCCAAGATCACACAGAGAAGCAAGCCCTTCAGGAGGAGGAGTGAGGACAGAGGAGAAAAGAACTTTCTGAGGTTTGGGCTAGCTGACTCAACAGGCGAAGGCCAAGGCCGCCGCAAGGGGCCCCTCCCCTGGCACCCCTGCTCAGCCCCTTCCATTGCCTCTCTCTACCCCACTCTGCTTTTTTAAACCACCCTCATTTAGTTGCATATATGTGAGCATATATGTGGGTGTGTAGTCAGAGGACGCCCTATGGGACTTGTTCTGTCCTTCCACTGTGGAGTTCCCTGGGTCAAACTCGGGTTCTGAGGCTGGCCTTTGCTCTCTGAGCCATCTCACCAGGCCCCCACTAACATTTGTATGTTAGGCACTAGGGTCCGTTCTTTGGGCCTGTTTGTGTCTTTCCTCAATTGCCAGGTCTAGTTCTTGGAACTGAATACCATTTGCATGTAATGAGCCCCACCCCGCAAGCCCTCACGTTCAGAGTCATTTGTGTTTTTCTACTTGTCATGTCCTGTCCCGTCCGGGCCTACTTCCCCACCCCCGACTCCCCACCCTCCGCCCCTAAGTGTGCATCAAGCATCTCCTTGCCTGAGTAGCCAAATGAAGTTCTGGTTGCCTCCTTTCTGGCTAAGTTAACGGCAACTCCAACTTTTTGGCTGCTTCCTTTTTTGTCTGCTGATATCCAGGCAAAAGACTGTTGGTTCCTGTTTGTTTTTCAGGCTAGATGGGTCCCAGGGCAAATATGATGATTCTAGCCTTCTAGTATCTGAAAGGCCTTTCCCCTGAGTGCCAAAAAAAACAAAAAACAAAAAAACAAAACAAAAAAAAACACCTGTGACATTTTCAGCAACAGGGTTGGATAAAGGTGATGGGTGATTGATTACATGACCTGGTACTGCATTTTAGGACACAGAAGACTGTCTTAGCCACAGCGTCAGGCTCTCCTGCTGACTTCTCCTGCCACGGGAAATAAATTCTGCTGACGATCAGAATGAGCATCAAAGTGGATTCATCCTAAGTCAGTCTCCTCACTCTATTGGCGCCCAGTGAGCTGAACCCATAGTTGAGAAGTCAGCAAAGCCATGAGTGGACCCCGGACTAACAGAAACTGTGAAGTTAGACCCTGAAGTTGACTCAAGCTGCAAAGGTTGTTCATAGGAAATTGTGTTCATAGAAAATCAATGGTCTTTCTTTCAAATAAGCCCACAATCTAAGCACTGCTTCCCACTTCTGTTGTATCAGCCTGACCCAGTGCCCAACTCTGCTAAGCGCAGCAGCAGCCTCGTGATTGAGCCTCTCTTTGAAGCATTTCTCAGGACCATGGCTGAGATTCCTAAAAAAAAAAAAAGTTGTTTATGCCATGTCACTTCTCTGCTCAAAATGCCCCCATGGTTTCTCATCTTGAGCAGAACACTTGAGGATGATGGCCTGCACGGGCAGAACACTGTCTATTCCTGACTTGCCTGTGATTTCACCTCCCGTCCATCTTTGTTACTCCACAACTCTGCACAGCCATGCTATCCATGCTAGCCTCTTTGCAATTCCTGACAAATCAGATGAGCCTCTCTCCTTTGTCCCCCATGAGGGCTTCTCTGATTGCTGGTTACTCTGTGGTGACCTCCACACCAACCCACACCCACCCCACTCGCCCCATCTCCCTCACCACTTTCAAGCTTTCTGTCAAACATCAAAACTGCAATGTGGCTACACTCAATTGTCCCGTAAGAGGAGCATCCTACATGTTTCTCCGATTTGTCTTTAACCTTAGAACTCATGACCATCTAAGCAGGCCACTCACTTGTTTATGTTAGCCCTTGCCATTTCCAGAGTCAGGAATTTTCTAATTACTTATGGATTTTTTTCCCAGTGCCTAGACCAAGGTCTGATACAGTCATAACCGTTTCTTAAGTGAGTGAAGAAGTTGGAGAAATAATTCCTTATATTTATTCATACAGACTAGACTTTAACTGGTAATGTTGCTGTCAACTTTTGCTGACGGTGGTGGAACAGGTCAGGCCCCAGAAGCAGGTAGAGCTCTGTGATTTCAAGGACAGCTTGGTCTACAAAGTGAGACATCATTTCAAAGAAGAGGAAAGAACTGCCATCATGAAAAACACTGCCAATCAATCAAAATGTCAAGAATGCTTGCTATTTGTTTTGTCAGCCTGCCACAGACTAGAATCAGGAGACTCTCAGTTGAGAAGATGCCTCCATCACATTGGCCTCTAAGCAAGTCTGCCTGGCATTTTCTTGATTAATGACTGATGTGGAGGGCCCAGCTCACTGTGGACAGTGCCATCCCTGGGCAGGTGGTCCTGCATTATATAAGGAAGCAGACTGAGCAAGCCAGAGGGAGCAAGACAGTATGCAGCATTACTCTATGCCCTGTGCAGCAGTTCCTGCCTACAGGTTCCTGCCTTGCATTCCTGCCTTGCCTTCCTGCCCTGACTACCCTGGATGATGGACTGCAAGTTGCTTCTGGTTAGGATGTTTTATCAGGGATAGAAACCCTAACTAACTAAGATACCGAATAAACTCAGCTACTGAAAGTTATCAGTAAAGGACATATCAACTTGGGGTCAACTATACATATTCAACACTGGGATTTCTAACTCTGGAAAATGCCATTTTCCAAGGCTTTGGATAAGTAGCTATGCAGCCAACCAGCCTTTCCCAGTCAGCACCTTATGCAAACACACAAAGAACTGTAAATCTTTCTGTCCTGTGATTCCTAAGCAAATTGGGACTCTCTCCCACAGAGACCAAAGCAGCCTTCAACTAGAGTGGCGAAACTCCAGACAAAGCAAATGTCCATCATCAAGGAAATGGCGGAACAGAATCAACCTGCTTATACCATGGACTGTGATGTGTCCATACACTGAAATTGAGGGTGCACTACTTAGCTTGGAATCATTTCCATAAAATGCCGTGAAATAGGTCAAATGGAGATGAGAATGTATGTTTTGTTCCATTTGGTAAAACAATAAAAGCTGTATCTCCGTATATTCATACACGTATACAGAAAGAAAGCTTTCTTAGGGGCTTTCTATTGCTGCAATAAACACCATGACCAAAAACAGCTTGTGGGCAAAGGGTTTATTTGGCTTATATGTCTCAATCAGTCTCTATCATCATGTCTCTATAATCAGAGGAAGCCAAGGCAGGAACTGACACAGAGGAGTGCTGCTCACTGGCTTGCTCCCCCGGGCTTGCCCAGTTTGCTTTCACACACCACCCAGGACCACTTGCCCAGGGGTGGTACTCCCCTCACTGGGCTCAGCCTCCCACATCAAGTGACAGTCAGGAAAATGAAGGCACAGACTTGCCTAGAGGTCAAGTCTTATGAAGGCAACTTCTCTTTTTAAGTTCCCCCAGCACTGGGGTGTTGCCAATTTGTGCCTGATGACTTTACATTTTGGTTAGTAATGTGTTAATAAGAAAGGAACATGGGCCAAAATAAGCCAAAGTTTTATTTCATGCCCACAACTTTAAAAAGCCAAATAAACTCCTCTCTGATATAGTTTAAGATGCTAGAGCAAATATCTCTTTCATTCTCTTATGATAACTTACTACCATGTGTCCACTCTCTCTCTGAGATGAGAATGTCTGTTTGTGGCCTGGGAAGTTAAATGTCTACCAGCAGCTCCAGTAGTGACTACAGGCCCGGGAGGACAGTCAGCCCTGAAGCTGGGTTGGCAAAACTCTCAGACCTCATCAGAGAAGTGTGTGTGTGTGTGTGTATGTGTGTGTGTGTGTGTGTGTGTGTGTAGTGGACAGTGGTTAAGGCAGAAACTCATAACTCATTAAAGTACAGAGAACTAGTGACTGGAGGTCTCAGCCACAAATGAGACACCTAGAGCACATTCTTCCCCAGTGCTCAGAGACCATCAGGGAAGCTGGGGTAGAAAGATTGTAAGAGGCAGAAGATGAGAAGGATTGGAGCAAAACACTGTCTCTGACCACGGTACTCAGGAGCTCACAGCAGCTGTGGTTGCCAGCATAAGACCTGCACAAGATCAAGCCAGTCAGCAATCTAGCAAGAAATGGAATGGGGCTCACAAGCCCCGACTCCTAATTAAGATGATACTAGTTGATGGCTTTTAGAGGAGGGATGATCAGTTTTCTCCAAGGGTGTGGCTCCTAGCAGGTCAACCACACTCCAGTGGATGGCCCCATATCCAGAAGTATATGGGCAGCACAAACTAAAGTCAATGGGTAGGACTGAAAAAAAAGAAAAGAAAAGAAAGACACTGGGGCTGGATGGATGCTTCAGTGGTTAAGAGCATTGGCTGCTTTTACAGAGGACCAGAGTTCAATTCTCAGCACCTACTTGTAGTTCACAACTGTCTATGACTCTGCTTCCAGGAGATCTGATTCCCTCTGCTGGCTTTCATAGTGCATAGACATACATGCAGGTAAAAAATAAAAATAAAAAAAGTCATATTATAAAAAACTAAAACAAGACATGAAGTTGGGGATAGGGAAGTTGGGGAAGGAGGTTGGAGGTAAATATGATCAAAATACATTGTACGAAATTCTCAAAATTGATAAAAATCTTTTTTAAGTCCCTTTACTTCACAGTATCCATCTTTATTTCCTTTTATAGAAATAGAAACTTAAACTAAGTACATAGTCACATAGAATACAGTCTCTCTTGCAGTCACATAGAACATAGTCTGTCTTGCAGTTAGACATGGCTATGTGACCAGATTCCAGCCAATGGGATAAAAGAAGTGTCACATGATATCCTGAGACACTTTCTTTAAGAAGTCCCATCCTTGCTTGCTGTCTGTTGCTGTGATAAAAAACCATGTCCAACAGCAGCAGGGGGTGGGGGGTGGGGGTGTATTTTAACTTGCAGTTTTTAGCCCACCATCAAGAGAACTCAGGACAGGAACCTCCTAGGGGCAGGAGCTGGAGCAGAATCCAGGAGGAATGCTGATTAATGGCTTACTCACCTAGCTTGTTCAAATGCCTTTTTTTTATTATTATTATTTTTTAATTTTTTCCCCAAGACAGGGTTTTTCTGTGTGGCCCTGGCTGTCCTGGAACTCTCTCTGTAGACCAGGCTGGCCTTGAACTCAGGGATCCACCTGCTTCTGCCTCCTGAGTGCTTGGGATTAAAGGCATATGCCACAAATGCCCAGCCTCAAATACCTTTCTTATGCTGCCCAGGCTCCCCTACCCAGGATTGGTACTGCCCACAGTGTTCTGGGCCCTCCTACATTAATAAGAAAATGCCCCACAGACATGCCCACAGGCCAGTCTGACGGAGGCAATTGCTTGAGATTTCCTTTTCCCAGGCAACTCTGAGTTGTGTCAAATTGACAGCTGAAGCTAACTATGACAGTCCCTTGTCATTTTTCTTCCTGCCTCCATCTGACCTGTTAGCCAATTTGGGAAGATTTTCAAGTACATCATGCCCCAGGTTGGCAGAACAGTGAGTGAGGAGAAGGCCCTGTGGCATCTCCAAAGCAGTCAACACACTACAACATCTTCCCAGAATTTTATAAGACCAGGTCAGGGGCTCATTCTCCAATTATATCATAGTAGGTCCTTAAATGGGAAATAAGATCTAGTCCAAGTCCTAATGTACCATAGTTGGTGCTTAAATGGGGAATGTGGCCCAGTACAAGTCCTAATGTACCATAGTAGGTCCTAATGAGGAATATGGTCCAGTACAAGTCCTAACGTAACACAGTAGGTCCTTAAATGGGAATAAGATCCAGTCCAAGTCCTAAGGTACCATAGTAGGTCCTTAAATGGAGAATATGGTTCAGTGCAAGCCCTGATGTCCACCTACCAGGAAGAGACAAGAGAAGAAAGAGAAAACTCATCTCATTCCTGAAGCTCCCTTGCCAATGTTGTGCAAGGCTCAGATCAGAACTCTGAAGGTCTGGATTCCAAACCTGACCCTGCTGGCATCAGCTTCCTCTTTTGAAATGGGATCATCCACTCTGTTTCCCCATGAGACCAAATGACAGTTGGTATGGAAGAACTTCTGTTATGAGCCCACATGAATGTAAGTTATCAACGGTCCGAGTTTACCTTCTACTGCTATGATAAACACCACAGCATGGCCAAAAGCAACTTGGAAAGGATAGGGTTTTTCACAATACAGTCTACCTCCATCATGAATGAAAGCTAGGAGGCCAGGAATCTGGAGCATGTCTATCTGGAGCTTTTGTGTCTTGTTTACATTTCAGTTAACTTCTGTATGGAAAACATTCTCTGTTGTTTTTGTTTTTTCTTCCACTTCAAGACATGGCAAAATGGAGAAGGGAAAAGACAGGAACAGGACAAAAAGAAAAACAGAAAAATAGCTAAGACGCTCAAACAATAAGATTTCATGGGCGATGAGGGAGGGTCTTTTATCTCGCCAGGCAAGATGATGGTGATTGTCCTGTCTCTAGTGCAGTGATAGGGTCTGAATGCAGTCAATACTGCTTACCAACACTGGAATGGAAGGAAACCCAGCACACCTTAAGAATTTCATTTTCGCAGTTTGCTTTTGGTCTTTTCCAGATGAAACAGTTTTGTTTGGAGCTTTAGAGGCTTCTGCCCATCATCATGGAGGAGACGTCAGAGATGTTCGAGCAAGTTCTGAACTCAGGGCCTCCTGAGTCCAGCGATGATCAAGACTCCTGTGATGATTCAGTCTCACAGTCAGAAATGTTAGTAAAGGACCTGAAAAAGCTGACGTTCAACCCCAGTGCCGAGAAGTCCCCTTCTTTACAGCCAGTACGTTATCGCCGCCGCCAGCATTGCCGCCCCCGTCCGAAGATGAGGGTGGTAGAGAACAACAGTGAAAAAATCTTGAGAGCAGTCCAAAGTGCCTTTCCCAAGAGAAGAGTCTGCATGCTACTGTCTGTGCAGAAAGATCCTGTAGCAAGGATGAAAAGATTTATGTGGATTGAAAAGACACTAAGAAGCCGTAATGGAGAGAGGGATGAGAGTGAGCCGTTCAGATGCCTCTGCACTTTCTGCCTGTATGAAGGGTGGGGTCCTGCTGAGAATGCTAAAATAGTGCAGAATTAGGACAGTCAGTTCAGGGCTAACGTGTACACTGCCCTTGCTGCTGCTGATGCCTTACAGCAGGTGTGAAAAGCTTTTTTTAAAAAGATCATTAAACGATAGAGATGTGTGAAGTTTGAATGCACAAGAATGCCTTTAGTTTGATCCAAAGAAACAAGAATGAGTCTCAAGTCTGGGGTTAAATACAATGACTTGAGAGAATGTCAGTAGAATTTGGGGATGGTTTGGTTTAGAAGGTAATAATTGGAATAGATCTTTGCATATTCTAATTCACAGAAATTTGTAATAAAGGCAATTTTGCAATAAAAAAAAAAAGAATTTCATTTTCTTGGTCTCAACATAGGGCCAACTCAGCTCCTCAGAATCCACCTGCCAACAGCTTGCTCAGGTCACTGTTATGGGACCTATGAGTCAAAGAGTTACTGGGGTCCCCGGGCTAGACCCCTTGGGGGAGCTTAGAGCATGGCTCTGAGCCACATCAGACTTAACTTGGCTTTTGCAATAGAAGCAAATCCCACCAGCTTGCTTTCAACGTTCAGCTGTTTCACAGAATTTCAAACTTCTCATGTCTCGCCTGCAAATCAGTTCTGCTTTTCCTGACCACTTCCCACCATCGCTTGTCCTTCGTGTGAAAATCGTGTACTCTAAATATTCCTATACAAGCTGGTTCAAATGTGTGGAAATGTTCTGAAAGCATAAAATCACCCTGTGTTGGACTCCTTCTTATAAAAATCCACAAAGGTTTCCGTATCATGAACTGTCCCGAACAGAAGAAAGTCATTTACTATCATTTCATTGACAGGAGAGACCTGTGTGCTTGTATTTCTTTCCTAATTGTGTGTAGCTCAGCTCTAAGAGCAGGTAGTCTCTGTGCTGATGTAAATACTTCTACAATCACCTTGGCACACCAGGAGCAGCAGTGGATTCTCTGCCCTCCAGCTTCTCATAGAGATGAAAATTCCGGTGGCCAATAGCAATGATGCTCCCAGATGAGACCAGCACTCACTGGCCCTCATCTCTGGTTTCACAGAGACATGGAAACCATCTGCCCTCCCCTGCCTGGGCCCAGCACAGACACCAAACCATCGCACGTCTATCATATGGCCTTCTTAATTTGGTTTGTACTTTGCAGAATTTGTGCTTAGTTCACTATTCTTCTCAGCAGCACGTCAAGTAGTTGTTACCCCTTGATCAACTATGATAAGTAGTTCTTCTTATCTTCCGTGTGGGTGAGGCTACAAGGGTCACAGCTTTATCGGTCTATGGTGAACCTACCTATCATCTATCTATATCTATCAGCTACATCTGTCTATTATCTATTTATTTATTGGCTTATTTTGATGTAGAATCTCACGATGCTGTACAGCCTGTCCTCAAACACACAGCAAACATCTGCCTCACCTTCCCAGTGACTGAGATGAGGACCATGTGCCACTGTGTGCCACCACGCCTGGCTCTGACTCACAGCTAAGTTATTACAAGCGCCCTACAAATCCCCTAAGAAAGAAAATAAACCAATGAGAAAATAGAATTTTGTGTAAAACATTGCCGGTTCGTCATCAACCCATCCCACCCACCCAAACATCCAGCGGCCATTAGAGCCTTGGCGAGAACAGGAAGGAAGTCAACACAACTTTTTTACTCTTTTCCACATTAAAATCTTGCAAGTTCCAATTAGAGTAAACTTCAAAGCCGCCTTGAGGGTTTTATGATGTGTTTTTTAAATGACCAAAATTTTTATGCATATATTTTCCAAAATAATATAAATCAAATTTCAAAGTTGTATAAACCTACGGCTGACTATAATTGTCCATGGGACAGCTGAATTGAATTCAAATCACATGTGGCATGAACTGGCCACCAAGGGCATTGACATGTAAATCAGAAAGAGTCCTGGGAAGAAATCAGAGCTGGCCATGTGGTCAGTGGACAAAGTCCTTCTCTGTGTAGCAGACCTTTACCAAGGACTTTAGATCCTCTGTGCCGTTTTCCCTGAAGTAGGAAAGTCTAATCGCCCCTGGTTACAAGCCACCAGGAGTGAGCATCCTAAATCTCCAAAGGTCTAAAGGTCAGAGCAGCAGCAGCAGCAGCAGCAGCAGCAGCAGCAGCAGCACTGTGGGAGAAGTGTCTGGGCTCTTTATCCAGGGACCTCACTCAGGGCTGTGTCTTCCTGTATCCCGGGGACCTCACTCAGGGCTGTGTCTTCCTGTATTCGGGAGACCTCACTCAGGGCTGTGTCTTCCTGTATCCCAGGGACCTCACTCAGCGCTGTGTCTTCCTTCACCCCAGCACCTCACTGCACTCCCACCCAGCCTTGAGCCGTATTCTAAAAAGACAACATGAAGCAGGCTCTTCAGCTCCTATGGAGCCTCAGCTGCTGCCGGAGCCCCAGGGGTGGAGAAGCCCTACAATCTCACCAAACATGAGATTTCCTTAGAGAGACTAGAATAATGAAGAAAAAAAATAGCCTGAAAATTCTAAGGGTTTTTTTTTCTCTCCTTTAAAGATTTTCTTAGTATGCCAATGTACATATTTGTGTGCTTTTTGCTAATAGCATTTTCTTGCTACTTTGATCCCTAAGATCCTTAAATTATATGTTCTGTGCGTTTACTTAAAAAAATTTCATAGAGGAAGCAATGTTATATAGAATGAACCAACCTGCATTTGGTTCATTTAAGAGTCTGCAATTATGAGAGGGTTTGTTGGCTTCGAGGCCTTTAACCCTTGCTTAGTGTCAGGGGTCAGACACTACACTGTGATGGGGGTAGGCAGGCCCCTTTGTTAATAATGCTCTTAAAGGGACATCAGTTCCTTCCGACATCACCGCCTCCAATGGAACTCACTGAGCACAGTCACCATGGCCGTTTGGAAGCATAAGAGAGATCTGTAGATAAAAGACCCGGGGCTGTGAAGCAAACTGGGAGGGGTCAAAAGGGTCGGGACCGTGAGAGTCACTGTAACCCAGACGCCAAGGACCAAACAGGGCAAAACAGACCCCACTAGCAAGTGCAAGGTCAGAATGAGGACCCTGGATAAGTTACCTACTCTGTGTTCCTCACATACACAACAATCGCCATCTACTTCCGAAAACAGATGGAGAGAAGTCTGAACAACTCCAGTTTTAAAGCATGGGCTTAATAAGTGTGGTGGTTTTTTTTTTTTTTAACTGCTTAATAAGTGCTAGGTTTATTATGATTATGAGGTCACTTTTTAAAGTCATAGTTTATAAAACCAAAATAATAATAGAGACTATTTTATAGGCATGTTAGGGGAAATAAATGAAAAGATGCATATAAAGGCCCCGAAACCAACGAGCCCCTTCATAATTGCAGACTTCTAAATGAATCAAATACAGGTTGGTTCATTCTATATAACATTGCTTCCTCTATGAAATTTGTTTAAGTAAATTAATTAAAACACACAGAATACATAATTTGAGGATCTTAGAAATCAACTAGCCCACATATTTGATTTTATGTGTCAATTTATTTGTTTCCTCTGAAAATAAGTTTTTGTTTTAAATATAAGATACATATGCTCATTCATTAAAGATACAAAGGAAAAATACACTCCCTGACATCCACAGAAAATACTCAGGTTTCTTTGGGGACCTGTGTGTGGATGGGCATGTTGCGGGGGGGCGGGGGGGGCATCTGTGTGTATATGCACACATTGTTTCATCCTTAATTGGAGCCACACGCTATAGAGAGGCTATCATTCTTTTCCATCAGCGTGTGCTCTATCATAAGCATTTCCCTGAATATTAAACATCCCTTGCTGTCTTACTTTTAACCTGTGCGCTTTGTGCACTACCAGGATGCTTTGCGGGTCCTGCGTTCACTCCGCTGCTGCACGCACACGGGTACTATAACAGACACTCAGAAACCGAGTCTGTTAAAGGCACTGGCTCCTGGCCTGGGCCCACAAGGTAACTATAACAAGGATATAAACACATCACCCCTGCCTTTCCTTTGCATTTCTCCTTCACTTCTGTCAGAGTCTATTTGACTTGACATTAAGTATGTACTCACTCCAGGAGTGAGTCTAGAAACTGACGGTACCGAAACAATCTCTTCTGCCTTCAAGGCTGAAGACACAGGGATGTCGTTCTCTTAACAGTGCAGTCAGAACAAAACCTGGAAGGCCAGGCTGGCCACCCCCATCCATGACAGCTGGGCTGCACCCTGGAGTAGAAGAGTGACCGCACCATGCCACAGTGCAGAGCAGATGTGAGACCAGTGCAGAGCAGATGTGAGACGATAGTCAAGATGACCACATCTTGACCAGGACGACTTGATTACACATACCTCTTGACCTTGGCCCCATCTTTGAAACCTAAAGTTCATGCTAGCACCCCACAGACAAACTCGGGGTCCCTAAACTCCTTTATTTGTTCCAATTTCCAGTGTATGGATTCAATCTCCTTCTCCTGCTTTCCACTGACACTCGTCCCTTCAGTTGGTGTAAGAGGATGGGTGGCCATGTCTGGCTTATCGGGGCCACCTGAGCCAGGCCTCTACCTAAAACTCTGGCTGCATTGCCAGCTACTCTAACAACAGACAATGAAAATCCTTTAATTATAAATTAGTCCCTTTCTCTAAGGTTCTTCCTTGTAATGGACTCCAGGGGTGGAATTATATGATTAACGGGTGTGAACTTATGACTATTATGCCCATGCTTTCTGCAAAGAAGACCCGTGGGTGCCCTCAGCAATTCTTCTCACAGGTGGCAGTACCATACCTTTCCTGACACTGCTTCATTTGCATTTCCGGGCTTGAGCTGGGAGAGCCCACTTCCTTTCTAGTGCGTGGTCACCAGCATTTCCTCTCCTAGAAGTCCCTTCTTCGCCCTACAGAAGAACAGAGATGGCACTGACGAGGCTGCCAACGTCACACACGGCTACCTGAACCCAATCTTAGACTGAGACCTCTGACACTCTGCCCATGCTCTCCCCATCACCCTCTGCAGCTTCCACATCCAAGTGCTGGTCCAGAATGTGCCTCTCATCATAGCCC